ATTATTATTATTATTATTATTATTATTATTATTATTATTATTATTATTATTATTATTATTAATATTATTATTATTATTATTGTTATTATTATTATTATTATTATTATTATTATTATTATTATTATTATTATTATTATTATTATTATTTTTATTATTATTACTTATGTAACTGTTTTTTCTCACAATGCAATACTAAGTATTAATAAATGTAGCCAATAAGTATTGTTATTGTTGCTATTTTTTGTTGTTATTAATATTTTTATTAGTGTTGCACTGTTTTATGATTTCCAGAATCACAGAAGTACACATTTGGATCCGCTAAAACATTTCTTGGACTTGGCAACGCCCCACGGAATTGATGAAACATCGAATAATACGGAATATATAATCCATGAGATTGTACAAAAACATGTTTGAAACTAAATATTTAACAGTCTGATTTCCACAAAATCGCTACACGCAATCGCCGACTGTGTTGACGACGCTGATTGGCTGATCAAATCGGAGAGGCTGTCCAATTGAGCGTCGGGAGCAGTTACGCAGTGACAAGTGCAATGAAAAATGTAGCGATTTTAACCCGGCTATACCTAACATTACAAGTGCACTATTTATTTTTGAAGAGGATACACGAGTTTAGTAGAGTGCCTTAACGTAAAACTATGGAAGCATCGTTACACGGATGATAAAACTTCCCTTTTTGGTGGAGATTTATCCACAGGCTTTTAAACAAATCTATGGAACGATACCCAATTTTTTACACTTTCTTGGCCAAAAAATTGTTTTTGGTAAAAAATAGAGGTTTGTGGACATTTAAACTATAAATGGAAACAACAAATTCGTACAGTTATTAAAAAAACGGTTAGAATTAAGAGTTGGCAGATGAAATGCATAACTAGCATTTCGTGATAATTAGGAACGATAGCGAAAATAGGTTTTTAAGAGTGGACCTTTAGAAATTTGTGGGTCCAGTGTTGGGGGTTTGTCCGCGGAAGGTCCAACAATAACGTTTTGAGAGCCGTACAGTGTATAATGCACTTCTGAAACCCATTATTCGTGAATATTCTATTTAATTTTTTATTCATTGGGTATTGTTAGGGACCTGAACCTGAAGAAAAATGTCCTTTACATCTGTTCAATTTCCAACAAATGTCATACCACAAAAATTAACTGTTAAGGCCAACTCAGACAGCGTCGTACACGACACAGCCCGACGCGATTTGTTGTCGCGTCGGGTCTGTGTGAGTTAAACGCAGACGCGATGGTGTGCGTCGGGGGCAGTCGCGTCGAAGAATATTAAACATGTTTAATATATCTCACGACGGCTTAAGACTGTCCCCGACGATAAATCGGGTCTGAGTTGGCCTTTAGAAGAACTGGCAAACGAAATACAATGCATACTAGGGTCCTATAGATTTTTGCAATAATTAGGATCGATTTTAGTGAAATAATATGATTTAAAAAGTGGACCTTTTGAATATTGGGAGGTGGGGTGCATCCGCACCCTCTGCATCCCAGCCTATAGACTTTATTGCTATTTTTAACCTGATCCAACGATTTTCATAGCTTGATCTGTGGGTTGCATTTAGTAGTGATATCACTTCTATTTACTACAGCATCAATAATTTGTGCAAATATCTTGAAAAAAATGTCCCAGTGCCCCTACCCCTTTTCCTTACATTTACAAGGTGTGATATACCATCATTATTAATTGGTAAAGGTAAAAAGAGTACCTGGCAAGCCTGAAAATCATATTCCCACCCCCCACCCTACCTCCCGCTTCTTCTGTATTTGATTTTATATTACCTCCAACATTATATTACCTGCAACACACCAAAACGACAAACCTATAATAACAGGTATACCCCATAAGGGATGAGAATCTCTAAAAATATTATAGCTAAATAAACAAGATGATGTCCAGTAATGACTAGGCCTATATAAAAAATTAAAAATATATATGCACTAAAGGCAATATGAACCAAATAGACAATATTGTGGTCATTAGTGAAATCTAAGGCAAAGAACTCGTAAAGAAATAATACTGTAGTAATAGGTATAAAATATAGGCCTATTATAATACCGTAAAACATCGAATAGCCAATGGCCATAATCTCAAGCAAAAGCCCATCTCGAATTTAAGCCCCCTCTTTAGTTTGCAAAAGTAACCTAGAAAAACTACCCATTGGCTTCTTTTTCAGATAGCATTGGCTTTTTCGAGATAGTACATTACATACACTGTAGGCCTACATGAATTTCAATGAAACAAAAAAAAATTAAAATATGCTTGGTTTATATCAGTATTAGGTGATTTAATTCCGGTTAATACACTCCATGACACAAATTGATGTTAGAGTGGTCCTATTTATAGATTTTTAGTAGTAATTCTCAAAGTTTACAGCATTTATTTTTAAAAGAGGCCTCTCTCTTTACATTGCAAAAGTAGCCTCGAAAAAACGCAAATCCATTCGCAAAAAACAAAAGAAGCCCAGAGCTTAAATTCCGGGTTTTACGGTATAGTAATAATACATTAATAAAATACATGTAATAAATAAGCCTAAAAATATGTCATAATTTTGAAAACTGTAAAAAATATACTTAGTGATAATAAAGTATATGGAAATATAAAAATAATATGTAGAGACTCATTCTTGAACGATTTAAATGAAGTATTAATACCGTTTGGAGCAAGAGTGCTAATAACAGTGTTCGAATAGCATAAAAGCATACGGTAGCCCTTCAACGAAAAGTTCCTTTATTTAGTTGTATAAAAACAAGTGTCTCTAGTTCTTGCTCTAGTGGGATTCGAACCTGCAGCAAATCTTCGGATATGAATTACGAAGCCGCAATGAACTACCGGTAGTTGGCGAGGGCGTCCGCATAGACAGCAAACTAAAGGTCTTGGGTATGAATCCTGGTTGGGCCAGCTTTTCTTCACACTCAGATTCAGATTTAGTAACATTTATTCAAATCGTTTTTGAAGAATGCAATATAAAAGCTGTAACTTACGTTTAAAGACACTCGCAGATTCATTTCCTTTAACGTTCAAACTTTATATGCTTATAGAATTACCACAAGACGGTTTTGAGTTTATTATATCATGATTTATACTGTGTTTGATATATAAAATAATTTATTGCAATTTGCATAAAATATGGAATTCAAGTCTAACAATAATTCATATAATAAAACTAATACGGGATTGCACAAGACGAAGAAAACAAAATATAGCCTAACTAAACAAATGCCTTCACATAAAAATACGGGTAAAATGTACAGTATGTCAGTCAAGTGCTTCACTTTACAAGCCAGCGATGGAATTGAATACGGTGTTTCTTGTTTCTTAGTTAATCCTTACAACTCTCGTCTTGCTGTGGAAACTCATTGTATGATAAGTCGAAACCCGGTAACATACGTCGAAGAGGTTTGGTGCAAACTAATATTAATACCGCCAGTAGTGATATCAGGGCAATTAGGATGAACGTCAAATGGTAAGAGCCAAATAAACCCCGAAGTTCACCTGCAAAAGAAAACAATAATAAAACTGTCATTAAAATTGTATATTACTGTCATATCTATACTTAAACTAATAATTACGACTCTCTTTGAGCCTTATTTGGAATATTGTTTTGACTGTTTATTGCAAAAAAAAAAAAAAAACAAACTTCTCCACACACATAACAAATCAGGAGTATAATAAGAGGTCTACTCAACTAAATTAGAAACTACATAAAACAAAGTGCGTGGATGAAGACTAAAATAAGTTTAAAAATAAACTTTACACCACGGTCACCCGTTTATAAATTAGAACAAAATGAAATGGCGGTGGATCAAGTACCATTACATAAATTAAAAAAATCATGTATCAGGTAGTCTGGTTTAAACGGAATTAAAGATAACTGTCACCCAAAAATAGTGGAAATTGTCTAATTTGTTACGTATTGACTTTCCACTATTTTTGTAACGTCAATACGTAACAAATTATACAATTATAATTTGTTTAATTCCCTGTTCGAGGGATTTAGCCCTTCCGTCGGGCAGATACTAGCGCTGACACTGGCATAGGCCTACATTACCAAAGTTTATTTTCTTTAATTTGAATGCTACGTAATGTCGTAATCTTTTCTTTAGTCATACAGCTCAAACTATCATCTGCATTTTTATATATCGTTATACTTAACAATTGTTGATCTTCATGATATATAGCCAAACACTACCATCAAACATTATTATCTATCAATAAAACTAAACATTTACGCTCGAAAAGCACTTACGCACATTAAAATGCTAGCCCAATTTAAGCGCAATTGTGATAATTATGCATTTTCATACCAATAACTACTCCAAAGCACAGATTGAGTAGTCCAAGGAAGGTTGTATTGACACCAAGAATTACTTCAAATTCTTTCCCGATTGAAAGATGCCATAAAACGACACCAAATGCAGGTAATACAAATCCAAGTGAAAATCCGAACATAAATGACGATCCTACTAACAATCCGAAATCTTGCACAAATGCGAATACGACCAGACTCGTTGCAGCTAAACATAGACCAGCCAACAATTGGGCCATTGATTTGTTCTTTACAAAGTAAGTAACGACTAGCTGTACACATCGTCCTCCAATATTTCCGAATCCGTATACGCTAATGAGTGTAGCTGCGGCAATAGAATCTATCCCAAGCTCAATGACGTACGGCACAACAAAAGTTAACCATGTTAAGTAGGGTATATATGAAAACGTATACACCACCATGAATGCAGGCAATCCAGGCACCTCAGCAATGTCTTTAATTTGTGTAGGTTTTAATGCGATATGTTTTCTTCGGTGATGACCAGTTGGGCGAAAGAGTATAGCAGCAATATACATATGTAGACATACGCCAGCTAATATCAAATAGGCACCTCTATATCCAAATTGTATAATTACCAACTGAAAGAAAGAAAAGAGAAACCTAAGTGTTCCACTGACAAATATAAACCCACGTCCGGACATACCTAAATATGGTCATACATGACATCACGTTTTAAACATTTATAGGCAAATAGTGACTTACATACAACAGTGTTTCGTTAAAAAAAAAATGGTAATCTGCACAAAGCTTTGGGCACTAATAAGAACCCCAACAAAAAGATTGACTTGAAAAAAATGCAAAAATTAGGCAAAAAGGGGCATCGCTTTTATTGTAAAATTAAAATTTCTTTGAATTTTGAACGATACCAGCTTAATTTAGAAGGCAGACGAATACAAAGAACTGAAACAATTTTGTTTACTGTATTCTTCTGATGATGATAAACTTACGTCAAATAACACCGGGAAGACGATGGAAGCAATTCCAACGAATGTAGAGGCGAGGCTGATTACTAATTCGAATTCTTTCTTGAAGTGCACACCTAAAACGCTCATACCAACATTATAGCAGCTGCTAATTCCAAAACCTGTTTCAAAATTTAATAATATAATTATAATAGTAATAAATATACATTTATAATACGTGAGCTGTTGTGACAAAAAGAGTCTTGTGATACAAAAAAATGAAAAATGAGTTGTTGATATGTTTAGATAGACGAATATAGAAGCTTCATTTTGATCTTTGAATCAGGTTCCCATGTTGAGCAAAACCGGAGTAAGATCAGATGTTTCTGGCCACTCACTGCACTCAGGCGCGTAACAAGGGTGGGGGGGGGGCCAAAGGTAATAATTTTCCCGGTTAGTAATTTATCATACCCCCCCCCCCTCCATGTAGAAAACAATACGTCATAGGGATTATCTTATTTATAATATAGGCCACACACGTGTGTTTGAATCTAAATATAAGCATTTTCATCATGGTTTTATTTATTACAAACATTCTTTCACCATCAATACACATTGAGGCCCTTCTTTTAGGTAAAACGATCTGTCTTAAATGTTCTTCCTATTTGAGTTGGGACTATTATGTGTTCAATAAACTTAGAGAGAAAAGGAGGACAAGCACAAGTTCTTACGCCCAAAAATGCGCGCGAAGCGCGCAAAATTCTTTTTTTTTTTTTCTTTTTTTTTTTGAGTTTAGGGCTTATGTTTTATATGGCCACACACATTTTTTTGAAACTGCATTTTAATTATGGCTTTATTTATTACATAGATATTCTTTCATTATCATTACACATTGAGGCCCATCCTTCTTGTTTTGGGAGTTTAGGACTATTATGTGTTTAAATAACTTAAAATGCTAACCCTAAAAAAGCGCGCAAAAAAAGTTGTGTTTTTAATTCTAATTTCGTCAGAATTGATCAAAACTCCCTAAAATGTGCAATTTTTAGAGGAAATTGGCCTATCTTTAACAAGACATGTGCGCGAAGCGTGCGAAATCGGAGATTTTTAGGCACTTTCAGGGGGTGAAAAGGGCATCTTCAAAGGGTGGGGAAAGATTTTCCACAGATGGATATTTTTCCCTTGTCCTCCGGTGGTTACGCCACTGCGGAGAATATCTGGCGGCTTAGATCAAAGGAGCTATGGACATTTTTTGAAGTGGAGAAGTGGTTGCATGGTGTTATGGGTCTGGTCATCATGATATCTTCCTTTTTATTCTTTATATCACTTCAGATATGTTCCTAAATCAAGTCTTGCTGTACCTGTCACGACAGTTCATTATACACAAAGAGGTGTTGACAACCGACTAATAAAAGCAATTGTGAGAACAGCAATGCAAGAAAATTAAAGAAGAACAAAACAAATAAAAGTAATTGAGGATATTAAAATCTGTTGAAAATGACAATTTACAAGGCAACATACTAGGCAACATAGGCCTAGACACCCTATTCAGACTACACTCTGTTGCGATCGGTTGCAATGTAATCGGTGGTAATCCAAAACTGATTACTCCCGATCGCAATCAACGAACGCATTCAGACCAACACAAACAAACTTTACATTCTAGGGCC